AATTAATCAAATCGAATAAGCACGTTTTTAGTAATTCGCAAACTTTAAAATCTTGTCCTTTAAACTTAATTATTCTCATATTTTCATTCATCAATTATTCGACTTTGTTCAAGACACCACCTGTTTTAAACAATAATTTGGTAGTACGCTATACACAGATTTGACTGTACTTTGTCATTCCTGGGCCATCTTTTGACTTTCTTGATTAGGGGTGGGGGTTTAGGAAATACACAAGTTGTCAAAAACATGTGCTCAAAATTACGTGGAAGTGGCTGTCTAATGTACATAATAGGTTTGTCATGTTTTCTTGAAATATACATGCATACATTTGGCTCCTTGCTGTTGTCATGCCAACATGACCACACCCTCTCTCATAGTCTATGAATCCTAATTTTAAACTCCAAGGATTGGGTTTTGGAAGAACAAATACATGATAATAACCCTAAAATAATCCCATTAAATTAATTTGCATACCACAAACCAATAATAATTGAATCATATTATTGGCCTACAAATAAACAAGTTTTCTAAAATTAGTTTCAGACCTTCAACTTCATGCAGAAATCAAAGGAGATTACTTTGAGGTCCTTCTTAAAATACATATTTTTACGAATGTAATTCTTATTTGCTAAGACGATTTTATTAAAATTTGCTTTGAAAATGGATGTCCTCTCCTCTCTAAAGTTCAATTCTTATAATTTAGATACTAATTCTTAGCTAAGTAAATAGTAAGAGTATTTTCACCAACTCTGCACACCATTCACTTCATGTCAGCTAAATCAGTTAAAAACACATACATTTTTTTGTTAAAAATGTATACTTTCTTGGTAGTTTGGAATATCTTTATTCTCCAACATTGTTCTTCTTTATATTTCTGTATGCTGCCCTCTATGGTCAGATATTGGAAATGTTCTGTCACTGATAGAAATACGAGACGAGAACTACATTTATAAAAATGACATTTTGAGCTTCTGAAAATATTCACCAGCTGTTCATTCGTACATGAAAAACTTTTTTGACTGAAATACATTTATTCGCAGTGGTGTTTTGTCATGGTTCACATTTGTGATTCATTCGTAAATATATTTTAATACTGTAGAATACTTT